CACACACAGTATATAGTGCGCTCCTGGTCTTTTTTATTTTCAAGACAACAGGTTGTTTGGAAACTGTGCTGAAGCATGCAACCCAAGAGCAAAAACCCACCAAAGGGGAGGGTAAACTTCTCTAAAACGTGTGAGATTTCAATATGTATGTTTCTAAACCCCCATCTGCCACTACAAAGGTACACAAGATCCACTGTTCCCATAACTCCACGTGGATGTGGAGCCCTAAAGGAAGTGCACAACGTCCTTGATGCACTGTGAGAATTTAAACTCGCTACATGGCTTTAGTGAGTCTGAGCTGAGAACTGCTCCGTGTGAGAAGATCATCCTCTCACACTGTGAGCAGTTCTCACAGGAAGTGCCTACACACAGAAGTTTACTGTGATTAATGTGCCTTTTTTTTTTGTTCCTTTTTTTTCCCAAACCACTTCTTCCTCTACGTTGTTTTTGAATTTGATATGACATTTGTGGAATAGAATGTAAAGTTATTTGTATGTGAAATGTGCTGCAGAGGAAGTTTTGAGTAAGTATGCAAATAAAATAAAMTAAAATAAAAATAAAATAAACCAATCGTCAGCAAGTTTTTGATTGTTTAACGTGGACGTACCTGCTCATGCTGGGTGAGAAGAGTCTCTCTGCCTGAAAGCGCATCAGTGAGGACATGAACAGACTGCTGCAGGACTCTGTCCTTCACTCTCACTTCTCTTTGAAGCTCTTGAAGTGCGATCAATCCACTCTAAATTACAAATAACATTTGACTGGCAGCGTGTACTGGACATAAGCTGAAAGAAGGTCCATTTCAAGGGGTTCGTACTGCACACAAGCATTCAGTAAATAATAACGACAACTCAATAAATGTAACCGTACTATAAGAGTGTTTTCTTGCAGTATGTTTTAAAAGTTCACCTGTAACCTGGATTCCAAAGCTTGAAGCATGAGGTGATAGTTCTCTTGTGGAGATGGGGTTGTCTTTAGTGCTTCAGAGTCTTGGCCACACTAAAAAAAAGTCTTTCGAATTAGTCCCGGTGCTTATTAGAAACCGAATTATTCCATGTGACAGTGAAGCAGCATGCTGTGGCTCATGACAAATAAGAAGATTTGGACTTACAGAGTAGGATATCCCACAAAGGTCAGTGAGGAGGAATTTTTCCAGAGGCTGTCTCGCTACTCCTTGATCCTTAAAAAGCAGAAGCATCTGGTTCGTTCCACATCCCAGGAAGTCATCCACGAGAACAGAACTGACGCCTGCCCAAACGGAGGCGATCTGGAAAAAAAAGAGTGTTTGATAAATGTCCTGAAGCAACTCAGTAATCCAGGTAAAAAAATCAAAAAGAAAAAAAATTGTATAGGTCCTCTGGACGGTTCTTCTCTAATGAAACATTTCGTCTCTCCTCCAAGAGACTTCTTCAATCTGAGAGTTTCAGGCAAAATTCAGGCTTTTAAGCACTGCCTCCATGTGACTGATACTCACATCACATGGCTATCGTTGACACCTAATTAACACTTATTGTTAACAGGGGGTGGAGTGATACTGGCAATGGCCGCGCTGTAGGAGGGGGACAACTGAAAACGGAGGCCTCCACCTCTGTTTAGTGATGGACGGTCTTTCTTCACAAAAATGGCTTCTTTTACTCCTCTCTCAAACCAACGTTCCTCTCTATCAAGAATGAGAACATCCTCATCTCTGAAAGAGTGACCGCTGGCCTGTAAATGAGTGAAAACTGCAGAGTTCTGGCCATTAGATGTAGCTCGTCTGTGTTGGGACATTCTTTTAAACAGTGGTTGCTTTGTTTCCCCRATGTATAACTGGTCGCAGTCCTCCTGGCACTTAACAGCATATACAATATTGCTCTGTTTGTGCCGGGGCACCGGATCTTTGGGGTGAACCAGCCTTTGCCGTAATGTGTTTTGGGGTTTGAAAGCCACTGGGACATCATGTTTAGAAAATAACTGTCTCAGTTTCTCCGAAACACCCGCAACATACGGAATAACCACTGGTCTGGGGTCTTCATTTTCACCTGAAGTCACAGTCACATGGAGGCAGGGCTTAAAAGCCTGAATTTTGCCTGAAACTCTCAGACTGAAGAAGTCTCTTGGAGGAGAGACGAAACGTTTCATTAGAGAAGAACCCGTCCAGAAGACCTATACAATTTTTTTTCTTTTTGAGTGTTTGATAAAATAAAGTATTAAACGTGACGTGTAATTTAACCCCATAGCTCACACACACCTGAAAAGTTTCTTTCCACACAGCACAAACATCCCCCCGTTTGAAGGATATCACGAACAGGCAACCGTTCCTCCCTGTGTCGACCACCTGAATGTCTTCAGCTTGGTCACAAGGCAGCTGACAGGCGTCTTTTGCCACCCCGTTCTCAAAATATACAAGCTGTTTGTAAGAAGTTGCTGCAATCACAGCACATTTCAGCACGTCGCCTTCKCTTTCAGCCGAGAGCACCAGCACGCACTGGGTGATGCCAACGTAAGGACAGGGCAGAACCACGGTGCCATCGAATACTTGTCCATCCCCTAGAAAACAGCCAAAAGCTCTGGTGGGTTTGTTTTCTAGTAACTGGTCAGAAAGGTTTTGCAGCCCAAGAACAAAAACTTGCCCCTTGTAGATGGGAAGTTCTCCAATAATACAGTGTGGCATTTCAATGGGTATCTTTCTGACTCCTTCTGCCTGGAGCGATGTATAAAAAACACTGTTTTCATGTGTCCACAGCACTGTAGGGCCCTGCAGAATGTATACATCCTTCATTTGGTAGGAGAGCTTAAAGTCGACTCGGGACTCGAGTTTGTTTGAGCTCAGAGTGAGGAGACTGTAATGAAACCTGTCTCCTCTCTCACTCTTCTTTGTCACCAACACACACGGTGTCCTAGTTCTCTTCTGAACATCCATGACGCATTTGCATTTCACAATGTCCACCTGAGCTGTTGTTTTCTTGCTGATGACAGTCGCTGCCTCTGCCGCCTTCAGGAACGCGTTGCCTTCAGGTTTAAAGGAAAAACTGCGGAAAATTAGCTTGCTCGTTCCGCCGACATTTAAGGCTGAATCTCGTTTGCAGCTAAATGAGATTATCTTCCCGCCGTGTGAGAGGAGATTGGGATTTTGATGCACATCTTCCGAGTGTGACGATCCCTCCATCGTGTTGTGCTTTCCCTGTCAGGTCCGCYCCGTCCGTGGCACTTTGACTTTACATCACTGCCTACTTGTGACCGGCTGTTTTCACCAAACAAATCGTTTATATAAACATTCAAAAACTAATTTAACTCTAACCTCATCACGGGTGATTTTCGCACTCAAAAACTAACGCGCCAACCAAGTAACTCTGAACACTTCCTGTAAGTCGAAGGGGATTGTGGGTAAAACATTTGTAAACAAATAATGAACCACTACCGACACCAAATATTTTAATTACTAAACAGTTTTGGCAACCTTAACATAATTCTGTGATTAGTACTTGTTTTTAATACGTTTGCGAAATAGATAAATACTTCTTTCGCGATCTTAAACCCGTTCCAGACGTTCCGGTGTTGTGCCAAAAAAAGCAACCCTACTATGAAAAGCACTTCCGACTTCAACTGTGAAGCTCACTTTTGAGGACAAAACTATCTAAATAACATAAAACTGTTTTGAATTATTAGTAATTTAGACGGCTAATCCAACTGCAAGGACAAAGGCAAAGCATGCTTAGATAAAGTGTGATTATTTGGCAGCCTAGCCTTCCATAAAAAAAATGCATAATCGATTTGATGTATATTATATGTAAGATAATGTGTATGAAGAATAGCGAAAACCACGAGTTCGGTTGTCACTCTGCATGCACACAAAAATAGATAATTAATAGTAAAAAGTTACGGAGTTCTTCCACTATGCCAGTGGAATATTACCACTGGAGGAGGCGTTGTTTAAATCTGCCAATGGGAAACAGGAAAATTACCACTTCACAGGACTACTGGAACGCAACTGGAAAGGCGCTTCCTTCGCAGGCAGACATGGGTCCTTTAAATGGTGGGGGTGCTTCTTTTCCGACGCAACACCTCATCCGTACTGAAACAAAAACAGAGGAGGAGGGGCGGAGTCACGCCAGAGGAGGAGGGGCGGAGTCACGCCGGAGCCAAAATGGCAACGACAGGATGCCGGTTTCACACTTCGCACTGATTCTTCTGAACAGCTAACTTTAGCTAACTAGCTTGTTCAGCGACAACGCGGAACCACCACAGACTCAGGGAGAGTCGGACATGGCAGAGCAGGAGCCAGCCGAAGCAGTGCAGGTAGGTGTCCGGCGGTAGAACCACAATGATCGGGTCRTTTAAAGATGTATCTAACCTCTGACTCTGTCGGCGGCAGGATCTGGACAAGAAAGTCGAGGAGATCAGGCTGAGATTCAAGAATGAGTTACTTCAAGGTAACAGTGAGTGGATTATCTGTCAGTGACCTTTGTCAGGATGACGTTTTGTGCTTGCTGCCACTTAGTTTSCAGATACTCTGATAATGTTAATCTAATTTTCTGTGGCTTATAACATAGAGGCATTTTACTGACCTGTATTGTTATAACAAACACTATTTCAAGAAGTGTTCAGTGTAAATACAGTCTTATTCATGACTTCTTGTTGCTTGACCTGTTTAAAACTGGACATCATGTGATTCAGTGTTTTGCACTGTGTTTGCAGATWCAACTGAAAAGTATGACCCCAGGGATGTGGAAAGGCTGCAGAATGACAACGCTTTGGTAGAGGGATACCTGGCATGGAGGCTTTATGTKGTCGATGATGCCTTGAAAATGATCGATGAGAGTTTCCTATGGAGAAAGGAATTTGGTGTAAATGGTAAGGTGCCGTGACGTTTTTAAACTTAAGCTTTTTGCAACACCTAGTCCAGGGATCTGCAACCTGTGGCTCTGGGGCCACATGTGGCTCTTTGGTCCCTCTGCAGTGGCTCTTTGAAAATGTGACGTTTTGACTTATTCATGCATGTATGTATGTATGTATGTATG